ACAGTATAAAATGAATGGAAACCTATGTAATGTCCCCACTTTTCACAAAAACAAAGGTGTGTGTGTGTGTGTGTGTGTGTGTGTGTGTGTGTGTGTGTGTGTGTGTGTGTGTGTGTGTGTGTGTGTGTGTGTGTGTGTGTGTGTGTGTGTGAAATAACCTCAATAACAATCAATCTCTCTCTCTCTCTCTCTCAGGTCAAACGCACTTTATTCATCAGCAACATCTCCAAATATGCAGAAGAAAGCCATATAAAACAGCACTTTGAGTAAGAAGTCTACTCTTCACCCGTTTATCATATAAACATCAGATCCATCCTAATTCAGTTCAAGCAAATTCAATTCTATTTACTCCATTACAGTCAAAATCAGAAAGCATGAAGGTGTTGAGTAAAAGGTGGGCCGTATATATACAGTATTATTATTAGCTTTTTTAAAATATATATGTATATGTATATATATATGTATATGTATATATATATGTATATATATATATATATATATTTCCCAAGCATTGTTTAGCAAGGGCATTTTCAGTGTTTCCTAATAAAGTCTTATTTGTTTTAATTTAGCTGGAATAAAAGCAGTTTTAATTTTTTTTTAAAGCATTATTTAAGGTCAATATTATTAGCGCACTATTATATTTCGTATATACTGTTCAATAACTCACCTAATTGTAGTAACTTACCCTTGCAGAGCCTTTAAATTAAACTTAAAGCTTAATACCTTCAAAAAAGGTGGTGTCTGCGTGTTTTATTATGTATTAAATTAAATTATCTTTTCATTGCAATAATGTAGAACTGGTTGTGAATTGCTTAAAGGGATAGTTCACTTAAAAATGAACATTGGCTCACTATTTACTTACTCTAAAGTGCTTTCAAAACTTTATAAGTTTCTTTTATTGAACACAAAAGAAGATATTTTGAAGAATGTTGAAAGCAGGTAACCATTTACTTCCATTGTAGGGAAACAAATGGAAGTCAATGGTTACAGGCTTCCAACATTCCTCAAAATGTCTTCTTTTGTGTTTAATAGTAGAAAGAAACTCATAAAGGTTTAAACAGTTGTGTATTGTGAATTGCTTAAAGGGTTATTTCACCTAAAAATAAAAATCGGTTCATTATTCACTCACCCTAAAGTGCTTTAAAACCTTTCTGAGTTTTTCTTCTGTCAAACACAAAAGAAGATATTTTGAAAGATGTTGGAAACCTGTAACTATTGACTTTCTTTGTAGAAAAAACAAATGTAAGTCAATGGTTACAGGCCCCCCAACATTCTTCAAAATAACTTCTTTTGTGTTTAATATTAGAAAGAAACTCATGAAGTTTAAACACATTTTAGAGTGAGCAGTTTGTTTTTGGGAATTGCTTTAAGGGATAGTTCACTTAAAACTGAAAATTTACTCACTATTTTCTCACTCTCAAGTGCTTTCAAACCTTTCTGAGTTACTTCTGTTGAACAGAAAATAAGATATTTTGAAGAATGTTGAAAACCAGTAACCAATGACTTCCATTCTATTAAAAAAACGGTAAAAGTCAATGGTTACAGCTTTCCAACATTTTTTCAAAATATATTCTTTTGTGTTTAATAATAGAAAGAAACTCATAAAGGTTTGAACACACTTTAGGGTGAACATATTGGTATTGTGAATTGCTTAAAGGGTTAGTTCACCTAAAAATTAAAATCAGCTCATTATTTACTTATTCTAAAGCGCTTTCAGGCCTTTATGAAGTTCTTTTTTCTGTTAAACACAAAAGTAGATATTTTGAAAGATGTTGGAAACCGGTAACCATTGACTTCCATTGCAGAAAAAACAAATAAAAGTAAATGGTTACAGGCTTGCAACATTTTTCAAAATATCTTCTTTTGTGTTTAATAGGTTTAAACAGTTTAATTTTGTGAATTGCTTAAAGGGATAGTTCACCTAAAACTGAAATTGTACTCACTATTTTCTCACCCTCAAGTGCTTTCAAACCTTACTGAGTTACTTTTGTTCAAAACAAAAGGAGATATTTTGAAAGATGTTGAAAACCGGTAACCATTGACTTCCATTGCAGGAAAACCAATGAAATTCAATGGTTACAGGCTTCCAGCATTCTTCAAAATGTCTTCTTTTGTGTTTAATATTAGAATGAAACTCATGAAGGTAAACAGTTTGGTATTGTGAATTGCTTAAAGGGTTAGTTCACCTAAAACCGAAATTGTACTCACTATTTTCTCACCCTCAAGTGCTTTTAAACCTTTCTGAGTTTCTTTTTTCTGTCGAACACAACATAAGATATTTTGAAGAATGTTGAAAACCCGTAACCATAGACTTCTATAGTAGGAAAAACAAATGGAAGTCAATGGTTACAGGCTTCCAACATTCTTCAAAATATCTTCTTCTGTGTTCAATAAAAGAAACTAATAAAGAACTTTAGAAGGAGTAAATAGTGAGTAAATTGTCATTTTTTAAGTGATCTATCCCTTTAAGACTTTTGTCCTAAATAGGAGACTGGAATAGCAGCTCACTGTGAATGGTGTAAAATATTAAAGTCACATGAGTGCAGTTAGTACATGAGGATGTGTGTGTGTGTTCTCTGAAATGTGTGTGTGTGGTGCAAATTAGGAAACTCTGAGCATCTGTATTCATCTTAAAGAGCGTTGAAGATTAAAGTGATGTGAATGCAGATCAGTTGAATCTGTGTTTGGCAGGAATGAGTGTGTATGAGGAGCCAGAGACGAGCTATGAATAGACTCAAGTGTCACTTTACCTGAAAAACTGAACAAGAGCTGCCCAGGCTGCTGCTGGGTTACTGTAATGATGAGCTGCGGGAATACTCTGAGACGTTCAGATGAAATGTGGGATTTGTGATGCTGAATGTCTGCTGCATGGCCAGGGCTGGGAAATACAGTAACAGCTGGAATATTGTGAAATATTATTACAGTATAAAATGCACGTTTTAAAATGATTTACATTGAGAAATATTTAATTAAAATTGAAAAATGCATGTATTATCTCCACATGTGTACAACATGACTTGTCTATAAATTATGATAATGTATTATCAATGAAAAATCTATATTTAAAAATAGTGTGTTTAATAAAAGAGCTGTTTTATATATGTATATAAACTGTGGATTTGTGCATGTGTGTGTGTGTGTTACAGACAGGCGTATGAGAACTGCGTGGTTCTGGAAGCTCGTGTTTGTTACAACGTGGCCAAACTGATGTCTCTCAATGCAGAGAGGTAGGACTTTTAACAAGCTTACTCAATAATGCATTCATCTCTCTGCCACAGAATGAAACATTTAAAAGGGAAATTGCTGCTGTCAGTACTAAAATCTCATTTTTTATTTATTTATTTATTAGATTTTTTTATTTTTGAAGAATTCTGAGTTTCTATTATCAATATTGTCTCTTTTATCTTTCTCAAAAGTGCAACCTCCCGCTTTCCCTTGTGAAGCAAATACAGAAGTAACTGAAACTGCAGTTCATCAAAATTCTGCTGTGCCTGAATCTGTAATAAAGCAGATTTCTATTGATCGCACTGTTAAAAAGGCAGACTTTACAGCGGAAAAAAGGTGTTTACAGCCTGCTACAAAGAACCATTTTGGTACATAGCCAGAGCCAGACGGAATCTGCGGACGTTTTTTGCTATTTCTGCAGTATTATTTTTGGAGTATCCAGCGGAGTATCATAACTAAAACCTTAATATATGAGATAAAAAGTAATAAATTACTGAATAAAAACGGAATAAATTCAGATTTACACATTTACGCAAGTAAATAAACAGAATTAATGATGGGCTAAAAATCTGCAGAAATCTGCGGAAAATCTGTGGAAAATCTGCAGAATTCTGCGCTCGCAGATTCCGTGTGGGACTATACATAGCTATTATTACCCTTAATGAAAACTGTGAGGGGGTGAATTGCTTTATAACTCATCCGTTTGCTTTATATTAAGTTATATTATGTCTGCATAATTAAGGGCGTGGCCACTTGAGTGACAGCTAGGTCTTGGCTTTACAACCCATTCACATGGCCTCCATTTCCCTGCTGAGTGAAGTTATATACTTATACACCATCTCTATAAATGTATTTGTTTTATTTAAGATTATTTAGAGCTGTAATGCACTCCAGAATCTGACATATTGATCAGCTGTAGGCTCTAGTACAGTCATCTGAAGCGTTGTCCTACAGTGTTATACTGGAGTTCATTAATAGTCCTGCATTTACTAACACAGACTATATCTGAAGTGTTTGGACGTAAATTGCGTTTCCCTCCTGTAGAAAACATCAGAAGAACAATGTTTAGTGGCTCAATGTATTTACAACAGGGTTTTTAAAGGACTAAACACTTTATTGATATAGTGTACAACCAAACACATGAGGTCAGAACACAAATGAGTCTCAGGTGATGAAGTATTCAGTGTTTCTACCAAAGAAAAGCCTGTCTTGGCAAAATGCTAGCAGGCGTCTGCAGCTCCGCTCAAGCTCCACCTCTTTGCCCTTATTTGGGATCCCCCGGTTGGTGCGATGACGCACAAACAAAAAGGCGACAGTTGGCCACGCCTACTTGTAGCTTCTTTTGTGTTGTTCAGGATGACATCACGCATATTACGTCCATATCTTTAACAGTCTATGATTTTCAGCTTATTTTTTCATCCCTTTTTCCTCTAAAATTTGAGTTTCCACCCTAATTTTTTTCATCTTTTTCTCTCAAATATGGAATTTTTTGTCTCACAATTCTTTGTTGTTTTTTATCTCAAAAAATGTGAGTCTCCATCTTACAATTGTTTTGTTTTTTCCTCTCAGAATATTGAGTTTGTGTTTTGTGATTTATTTATTTTATTTTTTTCAAAAATGCGAGTCTCCATCTTACAATTTACATTTTTCCCTCCTGGAATTCCCTTTGCATTTTCATATGTTTTTAAAGCATTTTTTCAGCTTACATTTTATGTTTCTGCCACAGTTCTATATATGCTCGTGATTCCTTAAACAGGCTGAAATTTCTGCTCTCTGAAGGGATGGATATTGTGTGTGTGTTTTGTGTCTGTTTGTGTGTGTGTGTATAGGAAGAAGACTGAGCGCAGTAAGAAGTTTTTCACAGATCTGATGGCGAAGGAACACATGCCCACCATGATCAACCCTAAACCCTGCGGCCACCTCTGCTGCTGCGCCATCACAGGCTGTGAAGAGGTACACAGACACACAAACACACACACACACACATTATCCACAGAGCCTCTGTCCTGCTGCCAGTTTACAGTAGAAAATTGCAAAACACAGCACTGACCTAAACAAGCAGGACTTAAACTAACTATTCTTTTTATGGTAATTTCTGATAATCCATAACACATGTGTGAATAATCATGTGTTAGAGATTATCAGCAATTACTAAAAAAGCAATACATTGTTTTTAAACAATTTTAAAACTATTTAAATCCATTTTTGTAATATGTTAAAATATAGTATACAAATTTTATTGTTTAATTTAGCTAATTTATTTATTTTGTTAAATATTTATCAAAGTATAATATCAACTAATTATCAATAATATGCTTTCAAGTGAAATATTTATAAAAATGTAAAATCCATAGTACATTTGCGAATATTTAGAAATGAATACTATTTATGAATTATATATATATATATATATATATATATATATATATTTTTTTTTTTAAGTGTATAAATATTTACTAAATTTTAATATCAATTGATTATCAATAATTGGCTTTCATGTAAAATATTTATAATATTTATAATCCATAATACATTTGATAATGTTTAGAAAAGAGTAAAATAAAATTTTAATATATATTTAAATATTTATTTTGACAAAAAAAATTTAAGTTAATAAACAAAAATTGTCTTTCCTGTGAAATATTATCTATAACCAATATTTAATTGAAAACATTTAAAAAAATAAATAAAAAAATAATAAAAAAATACAGTTTAAAATGTTTCAAAATGTTGCCTAATTGCTGTTTAATTGTTACAATTTAGATACTTTGAAACTAATAATATTTCAAATGTTACAATAAAATAATTACTCACAACTACCCATTAAAATTGTTCATTGTTTTTGCAAAGTCCTTTTATAGTAGAATTTTTACATTTATTTTATTTTAGTCATTAACTGATTTTTTTTTGGGTGGGGTGCTTTCACACCTGGTTCAATTGCCTGCACCATAAACAAGTTCGATTGTGTCTGGAAAAACATTCAAAGGCTTTTATTTTCATAATCCGCACGGATGTGAATGCATCTGAACTTTCTGATTGGCTAAATTAGACGTCTGACATTAGCATGTTCTAGTCGTGCACACACTTTTTCCGGCAATTTTCCTTCTGTGTTAATATCACGGCTAATATCACTGTTTGCACTGGCTCAGTCCCGCTTGTCACCAAGGTAGGTGATACAGACGTACACACACACACACACCAATGAACCCCATGAAAATTACAGTTTGTTGTGCAGTTGGTGGTTCACTTCAGTTGTTTGGTATGATTGCATTCACATCAGAAGTAAACCAGACCAGAGTTTGCATGAATTGTTCCCCAGACCACCTCTTTCAGGCGGACTTGGGTACGGTTCGTTGGTGAGTTCAGAAGACACATTCACGCTTGCTAAATGTATTGTACTGTGATGTCCAACGAAACCGGATGCGGACCAAAAGTGCTAGTGTGAAAGCACCCTTAGTTTAGTTAAATCCCTTTTTAATGAATGTGTGTAAGGAATTAAATCTCACTGCTGGGAGGAAGTACTGAGTGTGTGTGGTCAGTGTGTGTGTGTTGTGGTATTTAGGTGTATGTGTGTCCAGGCGTTTGTGTGTGTGTGTGTGTTTAGTTGTGTGTTGTTCAGGTGTGTGTAATGTAGTCGTGCTGACGCTCAGTGTTTTTGCAGGAGGAGGCTGTGAGTTATTACACTAAACTGGAAGCCAAACTGAAAGAGGAATACAGGAAGGAGAAGGAGAAAGTCAACACTAAACCGCTGGGCATGGCGTTCGTCACCTTCCAGAACGAGGCCATGACTGCAATGTGAGTCCAGGACAGACTGATCATTGCACTGCTCTAATGTGGATATAGAAATAAATATCTGTCATTTAAAGAGGTTTTTTATCTATTTATTTACTGTAAAGTATGTTTAAATCAATGTTTATTTAAAATAAAGTACTGTACTGTTTTTAATCAAAGATTTGAATATGAATTTTGCATTTTCTCCATGTTGATGATTTGTATTGAGTGAAAAATGGTGCCGAACTGTATTTCCCCCGACTGGTTTTTAAATATATTATTTTATTTTTGTTAAATGAACATCAGTCAGACTGAATTTAGACAGAAAGTTTAAATCTAAGTTTAGTTGTATACTTATAAATGCACAATTAAATACATTTTTATTTGTAATGTCTTGCATGAAGATTTTTGTGCTATTCTAAATAAATCAGATAACCTTATATTTTCTGTTATAGTATATATATTTTTTTAAACCTTGTTTGCATATATACTCACCGGCCACTTTATTAGGTACACCTTACTAGTACCGATTTGGACCCCCTTGCCTTCAGAACTGCCTTAATCCTTCATGTCAGAGATTCAACAAGCTACTGGAAATATTCCTCAGAGATTTTGCTCCATATTGACATGATAGCATCACACAGTTGCTGCAGATTTGTCGGCTGCACATCCATGATGCCAATCTCCCGTTCCACCACATCCCAAAGCTGCTCTATTGGATTGAGCTCTGGTGACTGTGGAGGCCATTTGAGTACAGTAAATTCTGATGCTCAGTTTAAACTGCAGCAGATCGTCTTGATTATGTCTACATGTGATTGGCTGATTAGAAATTTGCGTTAGCATACAGGTGTACCTAATAAAGTGGCCGATGAGTGTATTGGTTACTTTTGGTATGAAACTTGTTCAGTTTATTCTTCAGATATTTTTCCCACCTCATGTTGCATCTTTTTATTGTTATAGTTATTTATAATAATAATAACTAATGTTGAATAAGAGTTTTAATTTAATGTTTTTTAATGTTTAATTATGTTTAGATTAATCAATTAATGCACAATGCATATTTATAAATACACCCCCCCCCTTTTTTTTTTAAATTGTTCTACATTGAATAAAAGGTGTTTGTAATGATTATTTCTCTTGCCTCTTCATTATAGGAATGTCAGTTTCTGTTTGGTGTTGATTCATTGTGCGTGTGTGTGCAGAATCCTGAAGGACTTTAATGCGTGTCAGTGTCAGGGCTGTAAGTGTCGTCTGGAGCCGCGCTCATCTCAGTTCAGTGACGGTCTTCATGTCTATAACTGGAGTGTGAGCTACGCACCGGATCCTCAGAACGTGCGCTGGTGAGAAACACACACCACCTTTCACCTCCTGTGTGTCTTTCATTCACTCTCTCTCTCTCTCTCTCTCTCTCTCTCTCTCTCTCACTCTCAGCAGGGTTCAGTTCTTTAATTTCAGACATATGGATTCAAGACCTGGTCGTGAAGGGTGAAATAAACTGTATTTTATTGAGCTTATTCTACGATGTGGAAGTGCGCTCGTTTTTGAGATTCAGTTTCCTATGGGAGAAAAGACTAGGAGTAACTAGATATTAAAGTTTGAGGACAAACTTTATGGTGGCTTGAGAAGCCAAGTCTGAAAGTTTGAAGTGGTTTTAAAATGTTAAATAGCTAAAGTAGTTTTTATGAAGCTTGAAACAGTCGGCATAAATAAGTACATATTTGTTAGCATGTTTATAGCATTAATTATTATGATTCTAGCATGTATTAGCATGTTGTTAGCATGATTCTAGCATGAATTAGCATGTTACTAGAATGTTTCTTAGCATGTTATTAGCATGATTCTAGCATGAATTAGCATGTTACTAGTGTGTTTCTAGCATGAACTATCATGTTACTAGCATGTTTCCTAGTATGAACTAGCATGTTATTAGCATGATTCTAGCATGAATTAGCATGTTACTAGCGTGTTTCTGGCATGAATTAGCATGTTTCTAGCATCAATTAGCATGTTATTAGCATTATTCTAGCATGAATTAGCATGATGTTAGCATGATTCTAGCATGAATTAGCATGTTAGCATGATTCTAGCATGAATTAGCATGTTGTTACTAGGATTCTAGCATGAATTAGCATGTTACTAGCGTGTTGCTAGTATGAATTAAAATGTTATTAGCACGATTCTAGCATGAATTAGCATGTTACTAGTGTGTTTCTAGCATGAATTAGCATGTTGTAAGCATGATTCTATCATGAATAGCATGTTACTAGCATGGTACTAGCAGGAATTAGCATGTAACTAGCATGATTCTAGCATGAATTAGTATGTTACTAGCATGATTCTAGCATGAATTAGTATGTTACTAGCATGATTCTAGCATTAATTAGTATGTTACTAGCATGATTCTAGCATGAATTAGTATGTTACTAGCATGATTCTAGCATTAATTAGCATTTTGTTAGAGAGCAGAGAGCAGTTCTCCATCAGCGTCTGTCAGCTGTTTCTGTGCTGACTGAAGAATGCTTAGGAATCACCAATGAACAGTCCATACCTGATCAAGCTGAGAGATTCCCTCTTTCTGCTGAGAGAGAGCGTGTGGGTGTGGGCGTGTGTGCGTGTGCGTGTGCGTGTGTGTGTGTGTGTGTGTGTGTTTGAGATGAGGATGTGTACAATGTGTGCGCTCATCTGTGTGTTAAGAATGTGTGTGGCTTAGAGAATGTTTTACGTGTTTGTGGGTCTGTTTGTTTGTTTGTGTGTGTTTATGTATTTGTGTGCACAAGTTTGTTACAGTATGAGTGTTGTGTGTGTGTGTTTGTTTGTGTTTATGTTTTTGTGTATTGTGTGTGTGTGTGTGCACATAATTGTGCGTTATTAGTGTCTCTGTGATTTTGTGTGTGTATTTCTGTGTGTTTGTGTGTGTGTGTGCACATATTTTTGCGTTATTAGTGTCTCTGTGATTGTGTGTTTGTGTGTGTATATCTGTGTTTGTGCATTTACTGTGTGTGTGTGTGTGTGTGTGTGTGCACATATTTGTGTTATTAGTCTGTAATTGTGTGTGTGCATGCATGGGAGTGTTGGTTATGTGTGTGTTTGTGTGTGTGTGTGTGTGTTTGTGAGTGTGCGTGCACGCGCATGCGAGCGTGTGTGTGCATATTTGTGCATTATTAGTGTCTTTGTGATTGTGTGTGTGTGTGTGTGTGTGCATGCATGAGTGTGGGGGTTATGTGTGTGTTTGTGTGTGTATATCAGTGTGTTTGTGAGATTTTGTGTGTGT